TGTTTGTTACAGGGCATTCCAATAGCACAGACAGTTAGCTGAATCTGGAAGAGAAAAGGCAATTTCGCCCCGCCCCTGCTATGAGGATATTATTGGGTCCAGAATGAACAGCAGGCATGAATCGGAGTAGTTCTCCCTCTAGCTACATGTTTTGAGCCTGCAGTTGGGTAGTGTGAGGCTAACGTGCTCACACTTGCCACTGAAGGGTGGGTGCTAATTCTGCAGCTGTAAATTGCATCCACCTAAAGGAGGGAGCCGTTCAGGCACACTTTAGATTATTGAAACACATGGCTGAAATTTTCAAAGAAGCTTAAGAGAGTTAGGTGCTCAGTCTTCATTGAACTTCAATGAGTTTTGGGTGCCTACATCCCCAGGGCTTCTTTGAAAATCTCACCCTATATATTACATAGAAAAAACTTTGTTGAAAGAACAGCATTTAGGTTATAACGCTGAGCATTTGAATGTTAGGAAATGCCAGATTTATGGTTGCTCATGCAAGCTTAATTCAGCCCCTTTGTGCTTCGAACTTGTGCCCCAAACAAAGCAGGGATCCTATGGAAAAAATAGTATGTTATCATATAATTAAAGACTCTACTATAATGCATATGCAGTGCACAAGAGGGCAGAATTAAAGTTGTCCAGGCAACTGTAAACCTGGCATTTTCCAACTTTCAAAGCTTGACTTTGCAACATTAACAATATTCTTTTAGCATAGTTATTTTATATGTAATTATATTATGCGCATTGTAACAACTTCTCAGCTAGGGTGACCAGATGTCCCGATTTTATAGGGACAGTCCCGATTTTTGGGTCTTTTTCTTATGTAGGCTCCTGTTACCCCCCACCCCCTGTCCCGATTTTTCACATTTGCTGTCTGGTCACCCTATTCTCAGCATGCATCTTAAGCAAAAGTCATGAGCTTGACAAAGGAATCACTTGGCAAAATTCTATGACCTGTGTTATGCAGGAGGTCAGACTAGATGATCATAATGGCCACTTCTGACTATAACATCTATGAATCAGTAGCAGCCTGAACCCTGAACCTTCAGTACCACAGCACACACTGCTGCCACCTGACTACAGGACTAACTACATTAGCAGCAGCTGTGGGTGGACCAGTGGGTCGAAGTACCGGATCTAGGGGATGGCCAAGGGGATGATGAGCTTGGCCTATGAATCTCTCTCTTTCTCTCTCTCCCTCCCCCACAGTGGGAATTGGGGAACTTCCTGCCCCATGAGGTGCCCCCTAGTGGGACCAGGTGATGGGTCTAGGGGAGATTTATGGGGTGGATGGAGGGGAAGCTGCTCCTGGTAGGTGGGGGGTAGGGGTTGCTGCCCAATGTAGTGCCTCTAGAGGGGGACCTGGTCCACTGGGGTCATATGCTGGACACAGGAGTGGAGAGGAGCCCAGCTCAGCTTTTTTCCCCTCACCCCTAACACTGCTCCCAGGTGTTCACAATAAAGCAGGTGCTGCAGCAGCCTGGCCATTGAATGTTGGTGTTATTATTTAGGCAGGCTGCCAACGCTTTCTGAGGAATGCAAGCAAGAGAAAGAAAATGGTGATTTTGAACAGTTTATAACAACACAAGTCAAATAGAATTTCACAGAACAAAGACGAGGCACTTCTCCACCCTGAGAACATTTCCCCTGTTAAATATCAAAGGCCTGTTGTAAACAGTGGAGATTTAAGAACTTCTCAAAGAAAAGAATGCAAGTATCTTTTATAATGGAAATTGTTAGGCAACCTAAATATAGGGGTCACTTCCAGATCCCTCTGTAATCTATAGCTCTAGCCCACAGTTTTAGACTAATGACCAGTACAATTTTATTTGAAAATACAAAACTAGTTTGAGTCCTAAGAACCCTTTCCTATCCCTGTTCTTCCATATACATGAAACAGCCCCATCAAGGACCCTTTATAATTTATATGAACATCTTAAGATCTTAAAAGAGATCCACACATTTTGCATATGGATGTCATGTCAAACAAAGATCAACCTGAAGTGTATCTGTTCCCTGTAAGCAGACTTCAGAGCAATCCATGTATTGTTTAAAAGCCTTCTCTGATGCTTTTGAAGAAAAAGAACATATTTTTGAAAGTACAAAGGGAAATCTGGACAACATTTTAGCACTGCAGTGGAGGAGTCTCTGAAGTGCCTAGTGAGCAGCATCTGGGTTCTGCAACAGGGGTCAAATATGTGGAAAAAACCCCTACCAGTGACAAATGAACTCTAGGCTACATTCCTTCTTCATTGTTTTATACTCTTACCTCCGATTCTTTGTAATAGCGCTCAGGGATTTCGTCACAGGCAATATCGATAAAGCAGACTTCCCGCTCAAGATCTTTGGCTTCGTTGTCAAAAATCTGCAAGATTTAAAGAAACTTTAACTTTACAACAGGACAGTTCCAGCTGCAATACCGGTTACTAGGCACTGTAAGGGGCTGAGCCAATGGCTTGTAGAACAGCAGAGCGCACAGAGCGGAGGAATCTGACCTCATGCTTGGAACGCTTGCAGCAGCACTCCATGTTCCCATAATGCCAAGCCAGCCGCAGAATCCAGAGGCCTGTACTCATGCCAGAGCACGCAATGAGGCCCAGGGGAGAAAGTGGGTGTGACCAAGGAGGCAAACAACACGCAATACATTCCTAAGCAGGATCCAACTCCTGCTTAAGAGGAGTGCGCAGCAGCCATTGTTTTGGGCTATTTAATCACTCCTGCTTCAAGCCAGGAGGCATTGGACTGTACTTAACAGTACACCCTGCTCAGTGCCCCTTGCTGCTTCTCTGCTCCATCCACTCCTTTCCATGTCACTGTGCACGCCTTTGTAGGCTCCAGCCCCTAGTGACTACTGGGTAAAGCAGATATTTAGTCAAAGGATTATTATTTATGTTGCCTTCTCTAATTGTTGGGCCAGATATCACCATCAAGGGAAAAGCTGAGTTTCCAGACTCAAATTTCTTTTGTTCTTTCTAGAAGAGAAGAGTTATTCTACTTTCAGGACAATGATGAAATGTATCTGTGCATGTGAATGAAATGAGACAAAGCTTTGACTCTGCTGTTATACTGAGACTCAGGATTCTGGTTGAATCCTACAGATTAAAAAGGTTGAGGAAACCGTAAAATCACAGGATAAAGTTCTGCTCTCAGGTGTGTGCATGAAGCTCCTATGGATTTAAATCCTTTAGGACCAGGTTTTGAAAGGCCAGGCTCCATTTCTGCACCTACATAATGGGGGTGCACTTTTGGAACCACAATTATTTGCATGTACAATTTAGGCAATTTCTATGCCTAACTACCTGACTGTGCCCACAAATCAATTACATGGGCATCTCAATGACGTATGCTGTGTCTGCAATTACATGGGCATCTCAATGACGTATGCTATGTCTGCAACAAAAATGGTGGCCAGGTTAAGGCGGTCCTAAAGTCAGGAGAGCCATGCATGCACAGTCAAGGACAAGAACTGGCCAAGACTGTGTTTTACCTGAGTAGTACCATGCTCTACGGCTAACGTTTTCAGGAAATATATATATCCCTTGCTTGAAAAATAAATTTAATGAACATACAAAAAAGTTAATTCCATTTCATTTCAGCCCAGTGGGACAATTAATTTGATATAAGGATACAAAATGCCAGCGCTACTCAGTAGCCAGACTGCCAGTTTGGTATTTCTGCAAGAAACATAACTATTCAATATACAGCATTCATAATGTAAGAGAGACTGGAAATGGGCAAATATATGGGAGGAGGTTCGGCTGGGCTAGTTTGTAAATTCTTAACAGGGTGCTATTAGTAACACGGGTAAGACACTTTCTTAAAAATATGTTTTTAATCTGACATTGTCCATTCAGCTGTGTACTTGAGATGTTGCAGGCTCAATCTTCTAGCAGAACCTATAAATTACACACGTTTTAATTTTTTTCTCCCTTTAACAAAGTTTGAAAGAGGTCAGGTGGACAGATGCCTGGAGGCTGTTCAATTAAATCACTAGCCTTTGCTAGTTTGTCAGCCAAGTGAATGGTTAGAAATGCACATAAAAATTTATCATCCTCAAAGGGTTAATTTAGGAGGAAGAGATTATTTCCCATCCCTCTCCATCTCCATTACTCCTCCTCCTCACCCCAATTTGGCACTAGTACACAGACCGTTTCCTTAACTCCAAAAGTCGACTGCATGATGTCCCGGCTCCCCATTACTAGCCCAAGTCGTCATCTAATCATTGGTCCATGTTCTTTTCTTAGACTGTCCTCACAAGATTTGCAGATGGAGATTTAATCCCCTAGTTTTATCAGCAGTGGAAAATAAGAAGTCATTAGAGCACAAGATTGATTTCTTTTTTAGGTCTAATTCTCTTATTGCCTCTTCTAGCCAAATACTCCGGGATATTCTTAAAGCCCACAGGGGGGATGGTTTGATTGCTTTTGCAATCAAAATTAAGAATCTAGAGAAATTAAAAAGTTTTAAAAAAAGAGATTAAAGCCCACAAAAAGAAACGTAAGGCTCCCAATCTGTGCAGCTATATTTGCAAGTGTGCTGAGAGTGAATGACAAGAATGCTTTGTATCCTTCATAATAAAGGAGAAATTGTAGAAAGGCTGAATGTTAAATATTATTAAATCTGAAGGGTCATTTTGAGAGAGAGCGAGAGCGCACACTTTACTGCAATATACAAACATCTGTGCGCTTCCATTTTCCAAGAGGGATGAAAATTGCTCAAGAGAAGTTTCCCAGTCAGATTAAATCACCCCCAAAATAACAGAAGAACAGACAGTAGATTTTAATTGGTCTATTTTGTATCAAGATAAAGTCGTTTGTTTAGAACAAATAAAAATAGCCAAAAAAAAAAAAAAAAAAGACCCTGGGACGACGTTAGAAGAAGCTTCCGATGCCAAAAGAAAGATCACCCAGGGCACTGAGACAAAAACAAATGCTTTTCAATTTACCCCATTTCTTTTCTTTCTACTGTGTCATGCAAGCTCCACTACCTTTTCTCTCCCAGGTTCCTGGCTCAAATCTAGCCCAGGTCATAGTGACTGTCAGTTTCCGCCATCTGACTGTGAACACTTAGGGTATGTGTTCACTGCAGAGTTAATCTGAACAATTGACACTTGGGTCTAAGCACGTGGATTCTCCCAATTTGGGTGTGAGCAGCTAAACTACAAAGCCATACTCAAGTGTGCCCACTTGATTGCATCCACGCTGGTTCTGCACTCACTCAGGTGAGGAAGTAGGACTTCTGGGGTCACGTCCCATGGTTCTTTGTGCTGCTTTAAACAGAGCAGATCTATGATTCTTTCTTAGTGAATTGTGAGGGTACTTGTCTGGCCTTCTGGGCACACACGAGGAATTGTGGGAAGGTATTGGAGGACTATCATCATTTGAGTGGTTTAACTTGCATCCTACTGCAAAGTGGGTGGTTTACCAGCCTGAGTGTAAGCAGTGCTCAGCCCACCCCAAGAGGGGTCAGCTAATCTGGGCGTAAAGCACCACCGTGCACAGGCGAGGAGGATTTGTGTGTGAATGGGAGCTAGATTAAGGACAACAGTCAAGTAGAAGCCCAGGTGAACTCTGTAATGAAGACAAGCCCTTAGAGATTAAAGCAATCAAGTGGCCAGTGAGGAAAGCTGAACTCAGTATTTTCAAAAAGAAGCAAGGTTCTAAAATGGATATGTTTCCTTTGGCGACTATTCAGTCCCATCCATTGTCTGGGTTTGGGCAAGGGAGGAGCTCCAAGTCTTGTTCATTTTCAATACATTAGATTCACACCGTTTGCAACTAATTGTGCAAGTAAATGAAAAGGATAATATCTCCAAAATAGATTTGCTTCCAGAAAAGCCGGATGCTCCTAAATCAATTACAGGTAAGGTAATATGGTAGAAAATATAGTTGTTCTCATGTTCTGAGTACCATATCTCTGGGCCTGTCTACAACACAAAGTTGCACCAATAAGATTGCTCTCTATAAATACATCAGAGGGATAAACACAACGGAGGGAGAGAAGCTATTTAAGTTAAGGGCCATCAATAAGTTTAGGCGTGAAGTTAGATGAAGGTTTTTAAGCATGGGAGGAGTGAAGTTCTGGGACAGCCTTCCAAGGGGAGTAGTAGGGGCAAAAAACCTAACTTGTTTTAAGCCTGAGCTTGATACATTTATGGAGGGGATGGTATAATGAGGTGGTCTACAAAGGCATATGACCCATCTGCAACTGCTATTAGCAAATATCTCCAGAGGCCAGAGATGGGACACTAGATGAGGAGGTCTTCCGAGTTACTACAGAGCATTCTTTCCTAGGTATTTGGCTGTGGGTCTTGCCTACATGTTCAGAGTCTAACTGATCACCATATTTGAGGTTGTGATGGAATTTCCCCCCAGGTTAGATTGGCAAAGACGCTGGTTTTTTTCACCTTCCTTTGCAACATGGAGCATGGGTCTTTAAATCAAGATTTGAGGACTTCAGTAACTCAGCCAGTGGTTATGGGTCTACTACAGCAGTGGGTGGATGAGGTTTTGTGGCCTGCAATGTGCAGGAGGTCAGACTGATGATCATGATCCCTTCTGGCTTTAAAGTCTGTGAGTCTGTGAAATGACTAGATTGGTCTCAATTCACCCCTAATGTTTTTTCAGTGAAAATTTATGTGTGGGCACTCTTATTTCAAAATAAAAGTGTCCTATTTCAATGAAGTTTATTCTGAAATAAGAGTGTCCACACAGACTTGCATCAAAATAACAAAGCATGCAAATTAAAACTGATCCAGTTATTTTCATGCAAGTCTCTGTGTAGATCAGTCCGTAACCAACAGATAGAGGGCCTATACTCCTGCTTTTTTTGAGTCAATGGGAGTTTGACCACTTATTTCAATGGAAGTGGGATCAGGCCTTAACTATATATTACAAAATTATAACATAAATAAGAAAATGAACCAGCGCAGAACAGATTGTTTAATTTGGAGTGTAACTGTTGATCTGCATGCCTCAAATCAGAGTCAATGTCCAATCCAATTATTAGTCCATCTTTGACCTAGTAAGAAATTTGCTGAAGTAGCCTCCCAGAAAATGTGTCATGCTGCTGCATAAACTCTCAGATGTGCCTGGAAATCTATAGATACTGAATTGTTGCCTACATTAAAAGCTTGTCTCAAAGGTAGAAATTCTCTCCTCCTAAATTAAGCAATGAGGTTCAGATTGTGAACAAATCTACAAATTAATTTTTCTTTCCCTCCCCAATACTAAAATTATTTTATTGTTATGGACAAAGTGACAATTAACATACCCCTGATTTACAGTTTAACCAGTTTGTTTCTATTCTGCATCATTCAGTTTCTTTTCCTATAAATATCTTTATTTGTGTCAAGTTCTAGAGTTA